GCCCGGCCTAATTTTTGCATTTTTTAGTAGAGACAGGGATTTGCCATGTTGGCCAGGCTGGTCTTGAACTCCTACCCTCAGATGAGCCACCTGCCTCAGCCCCCCAAAGTGCTAGCATTACAGGGGTGAGCCACCGCGCCTGGCCAACATAATATTTTTTAGTATCTTAACATGTTTACAAGTATTAAGTGTTGGTTAGTTTTTCAGAGTTAGTATGTACAATTTTTTTCCTCATATCTTGGAACTATTGTTAATTTTTTGAGACAGAGTCTCGCTCTGTCGCCCAGGCTGGAGTGCAGTGGCTCCATCTCAGCTCACTGCAACCTCTGCCTCCTGGGTTCAAACGATTCTCATGCCTCGGCCTCCCAATGATGTGTCTTAAATATACACTATCTAATAATTACCTCTCTCTAAGATCCTATGTAAGAAATCCTACCAGGCCAGGCATGGTGGCTCACGCCTATAATCCCAGCACTTTGGGAGGCCAAGGCGGGCAGATCACTTGAAGTCAGGAGTTCAAGAGCACTCTGGCCAATATGGTGAAACCCTGTTTCTACTAAAATATACAAAAAAAATGAGCCAGGCATGGTGACAGGCATTTGTAATCCCAGCTACTTGGGAGCCTGAGGCAGGACAATCATATGAACCTGGGAGGTGGAGGCTGCAGTGAGCTGAGATGGTGCCACTACATTCCAGCCTGGATGATAGTGAGACTCCATCTCAGAAAAAATCCTACCGTATTATTGGACCTGTTAATAGTTATAAATAAGGACATAATGGTAATAATTACTTGGTTTTACTTCTGGAAAAGCAGTGATTATAGAATTGCTACTCCTTGCCAAGTAATTAGAATTCGGAAAAATAAAAATTAAAGAATTTCTACTGCTAACCTTATACAAATTATAATATAGTACAATTAATCCATACCCCTTAATTTGAATTAGCAATTTAATTGGGAACTGAGCTGGTTTATTTTTATATTATATATTAAAATAACACTAGTAAAACTGAAGTATTTATATAATTATTGAGGACATATTTTATTTAAGGAAACAAATTTATAAGGAGGCCTAAGGTCTCTGTTGGCCCAGTTCAGGGATCGGCAAACTTCAGTCTGTGGACCAAATCCAGCCCACTGCCAATTTTTGTAAGGTACATGAGCTAAGAATGGTTTTTACAAATGAACATTTGTAATCACTTTGATACTAAAGATCACTAACTTTGAGCCCCAATTAAGCAAAGTGTTACCCCCAAAAAGGGAATTCCATTTTTTCTTCAGTAGACCTGTATAAATTAAAAAAAAAAAATGTACTCAGTTATTTATTATATTTTGAATTTCATCAATAAGGTATTTGTGGAAGTGTGTTTTCTCTCCCTATATATGTACCTACATAATTGCCTCGATTTTACCTCTTTTGCCCACAAAGCCTAAAATATTTACTATCTGCCTTTTTAGAGAAAACTTTCATGTAATCATATGTAATTAAAAGCATTACAGCATTTTAAAAGAATCATCTAAAGAAAATTTTTTTAAAACAGTATGTATAACCTTTTTGTTATATATATTTGTGCATTATGAAAAGACTCAAAAGGAAAACAACATTGCTTTGAAGTTAGGAGCAGGGTTCTGAAACCAAACTGCAAGGTTCAAATCTCAGCTGTACCATTTACCATTTTTTGTTACCTTTGGAAAGTTACTTAACTGCTTGGAGTCTCATTTTCCTTATCTGTAAAATGGGGATACTCATAATTTAAGTTCAAAGAGTTGTTTTAGAAGTAATGGAGTTAATATATGTAAAACATTTTAGCATAGTACACCTGGCACATAGGACTCAATAAATGTTTACTATTATTATAATGAAGAAAGAACCAGATAGTAAGTGGTTATCTCTGAGTGGCGGGATTGCCAATTATTTTTCTTTTTTTATATTTTGTATATGTGTATTTCCTGTGAACTTGGCTGTAGAATAAGACACTTTTATAAAATCTTTTAACTAAAATTTTTAATTATTTATATTGGCTGTTTTTTAAAAAAAAAAATTATATATATATATATATATATATGTATATATATGTGTGTGTATATATATAAATTGTTTCACCTGAAAACATGAACAATAAATTTGGGTATTTGATATCTACAATTTGCATGTTTCTTATATGTGCCCTTATTTTCCTTATAGACATGGCACATGGACATGGACATGAACATGGACATGGTAAAATGGAACTTCCAGATTATAGACAATGGAAGATAGAAGGGACACCATTAGAAACTGTCCAGAAGAGGCTGGCTGCAAAAGGGCTAAGGGATCCATGGGGCCGGTAAGATGAATTAAGTAATTTAGATAGAATGTATCCTAGGGAATCAAGTGTCTCTGTTCCTTTTCAATGTATTCTCCTTAGAGAATCACGAAAAATGGCTTTTTACATTAAAGTTTTTTATTTGTTTTGAGACAGGGTCTCACTCTTACACCCAGAGTGGAGTTCAGTGGTGTGCTCACAGCAACCTCCATCTCCTAGGCTCAAGTGATGCTCCCACTCTCCCAAGTAGCTGGGACTATTGTCATGGGCCACCATGCCCAGCTAATATTTGTATTTTTAGTAGAGACAGGGTTTTGCCATGTTGCCCAAGCTGATCTCGAACTCCTGAGCTGAAGCGATCTGCCCACCTTGGTCTCCCAAAGTGTTACAATGACAGGTGTGAGCCACTATGCCCAGCCACATTAAAGTTGTAAAATAAACTTTATTGTGGTATCATTTATATATAGTAAAATTCACCTGTTTTAAGTCCTTTATCAGATAAAAGCTTTGTGGTGCTTGCTTCAGCAACACATATACTACAATTGTAATACAAAGAAGTTAGTATGGCCCTGTGCAAGGATTTTTAAAAAATTTTTTTAAAGTTTGCAAATGTTTTTTCCCACAATGTGGCTTATCTTTTGATATTCTTAATAATGTCTTTCAGAGAGTTTAAAATTTTGATGAATTCATGCAATTTTTTTCTTTTACAATTTTTGCTTTTTGCAACCTAAGATTATCTTCTGTGCTTTCTTTTAGAAGATTTTATAGATCTTACATTTCTGTGATCTATTTTGAGTTCATTTTCGTGTCATATGAAGTAAGGATGATGGTTAGTATTTTTACATATGTGCATCCAGTTGCTCCAGCACTATTTATTAAAAGATTATCTTTCCCCTATTGAATTAGCTTAATGTTGTCAAAAATCCATTGAGTGATTTTTGACACTCAGTGGGCGTGGTGGCTCATGCCTGTAATTCTAGCACTTTGGGAGGCCAAGGCGGGTGGATCGCTTGAGGCTAGGATTTCAAAACCCGCCTGAGCAATATAGGGAGATTTTGTCACTACAAGAAATTTTTAAGAATTGCCAGATGTAGTACACACATGTAGTCCCAGCTACTCAGGAGGCTGAGGTGGGTGGATCACTTGAGCCCAGGATGTCCACATGGCAGTGAGCAAAGATCTGCCCACTCCACTCCAGCCTGGGCAACAGAGAGAGACATTGTCTCAAGAAAATTTAAAAAATCAATTGACTGTATCTATAGGATCTATTTCTGGACTCTATTCTGTTACCCTCATTAATATGTCCACCCTTATGCCAATACCACACTGTCTTTAAATCAGGTAGTACGAGATCTCCAACTTTAGAAATATTATTTTAGCTATTCTAGGTCTTTTACATATAAACTTTGGAATAAGCCTGTTCATTTCTATAAAAAACCTGCTTGGATTTTAATTGGGATTACATTGAATCTGTTTCAAGTAGATTCACAATGGGAATCTGTTTCACATCCACACTGAATCAAATTCACATCAATTTAGGGGCTGGGCACAGGGGCTCACACCTGTAATTTCAGCTTTTTGAGAGGTTGAGGTGGTTGGATCACTTGAGGTCAGGAGTTCAAGACCAGCCTGGCCAACATGGTGAAACCTTATCTCTACTAAAGATATAAAAAATTAGCCAGACGTGGTGGCAGGTGCCTGTAATCCCAGCTACTTGGGAGGCTGAGGCAGGAGAACTGATCCCGGGACGTGAAGGTTACAGTGAGCCAAGATCACGCCATTGCACTTCAGCCTGGGCAACAGGGCAAGACTGTCTTAAAAATAATAATAGTAATACTTGTATCTATGTTCATGAGGAATATTATTCTGTAGCTGTTTTTCTTCTAACATCTTTGTCTGGCTTTGGTATCTCAATTAGATTTAATTAGCTCTCGTATTTCCTAAGTCATATTTTTATAGTTAAATGGTTTTTGTTTTTCATAACCTGATGTTTTCACTGGCTGTCTTTATCAGAGCAGGATGTCAGTCTTCTAAAATTCAGGCTGCTATGGTAGGGAGAAGCTGAGATCCTTTTGAATAGTAACAATAATGTCAAGTGTTACATACTCCATGCTCTTCTGCCAAAGTATATCATGCATGAGCCTGTGTACTCTTAATGATATTAAAAAGTAGATAATCATCATCATGGAATAGAACAGGAAGTAGACCATGACAGTTAAGTGTCTTGCCTGGCCTGCAATATTGTGAATCTAATATAAGTGGCATAGCAAAGATTAATACCCAAGTCTGTAACTTCATCTTTCAGTGATGTTGTAATGACTACTGTGGGCAGAATCCGTCTGACCTGTGACAGGCTGAAGTGAGTTGCATTTGATGGTTCTGTAAAATCCTGAGGCATGTGACTATGAAATCATCAAGTGTTTATTCTTCTATTTTACATGTGAAACTTGGGCATATACTTAATTATCCTATGCCACAGAAAGATTCTTATTGTGATTCACTTAAATGATCTTCTGTAGGGAAGCATTTACGTCAATTAGAAATATGAAAACTAAATTTATTTCATTCAATGTATGTACACACAAGTTGTGTATGATTCTAATTTTTTCCCTTTTGTTTTTTCTAGCAATGAAGCTTGGAGATACATGGGTGGCTTTGCACAAAAGGTTACCTTTTTTGATGTATTCTTTAAAGGATTCAAATGGGGATTTGCTGCATTTGTGGTAGCTGTAGGAGCTGAATATTACCTGGAGTCCCTGAATAAAGATAAGAAGCATCACTGAAGATAATACCTGGAAGTATCATAGTGGTTTCTTAACTCTCCAAAATAAGATTTCTTCACTATAGCCTACTTGACTTGTTTGTCCCTTAAAGAATATTAGTATGATTTAATAAAGTAAAATAAAATATATATATGCCAATCTGTTTTTGTCATTGTTTTTTTTTAAGTGTCTCAAGCCGTATCAGATTTGGTTTGGAATACATAGTGGGTTGGAGAACAGCAGGAGTGACTTCTGCATATAGCAGGCATACAGCATATATTTTACTGAGAAAATGGACATGTTCTAACAAGTTTTTTAAATCTTTTTTTTTTTTTGAGACGGAGTTTCGCTCTTGTTACCCAGGCTGGAGTGCAATGGCGCTATCTCGGCTCACCGCAACCTCCGTCTCCTGGGTTCAGGCAATTCTCCTGCCTCAGCCTC